ATTTGGGAGGGGAACACTGAATGCAGGGAGTAGAGGAGGGAATAGAGAATCCCCCCTGCACTCTTAAACCAGCACAGTAGCATCCATACTAGCCCGTGGGCTTGGGGACAGAACTCCTGCCCTTCAGCACAGCTGGGGAAGATCTGATCGGAGTTCGCCAAGTTACCCAGGCATTAAATACTCCACATCAAATCTGAATTTTAACTGCTCCATCAGCTGCAGAGGGACAGAGAGAGACACACACCATATTTTAAATACATCTTTTGTCCTAATCCCCTCTGAGCTGTAAAACCAGATACAATTCAGCTTTTATATTTTGCAAATGATGAATGACCGACTCACAAGCTCACCGTGAAATTCAGAACCTAGAACACAGTGTTCTTGAGGCAGCCCAACTGCTGAACCTGGGGTTTCCTGCAGTTCCTCCTTGTCCAGCCCCTCCCCTCCCCTCTGCCCTCCCTGGGGTAGGGGAGTGCACCCTCACTTTTGCAAGTGCGCATAAAAAAACACTGTTATCAGTTTCCAAAAAAAAAAATCACAAGTCAAAATAAATCTGATGCATCTCTTTCTCTCATCTAAAGAGGAAATCAATTTGCTCTAACTGGAAAATCTCGGAGACCTACGTGTTGAGAGAGTTCCCTATGGTACTACGTGGCGCAGCCTCCACTTAGAATATCCTCTTCCTTCTTTATCCCCCATCTGAATCAAAACTCCTGACAAGACACAGCTCAAATGTCATCTCTTCCAGGAAGCACCCCCATGTCCCCCCAGCCTACAGGGAGATGTCCCTATAACTCTCAGCATCTCTATCCCAGCTGTGTGCATCTACCAAAGCACTTATCAGTGGGTGCCTAGGTCTTCTGAGGATGGGTACCTTAGCCAGATGTTCCTTAGCCAGACCGTAAACTCTGGAGGCAGCCAACCCCGGCAAACTGAATATTTTACTTGGCATTTGTTGGCATTTGTAAGTATTGCTATTAATCTTTTCATGCACATATTTGATCAAATCTAGTAGGCAGTTTCCTCTAGAAGTGGCACCAAGCTTGGCACAATGATGCACATATCCCAATTCATTAAATATCTGGTTAATTGGTGACTAACTGATAAGAGAATTTCCTAAAGGTTAAAAGTAAATATAAATTGGATACACATATAGCTCGCAATGTGTTTCTTTCTTTCTAAGTGCTTCTATTATATTCAACAAGAAAGATAAATGGTAGAGGGAAAAGGAGAGGAGGGAGAGGGAGAAAAGACATTAACCAGTATTGACAGATAAGTCATAGCACTCCTATTTCAGAGAAGGAAATTGGGGTAAGCACCTGTAATGGTTAAATATTGTCAACTTGATTGAACTGAGGGATGCAAAGTATTGTTCCTGGGCATATCTGTGAAGGTGCTACCAAAGGAGATTAACATTGGAGTCTGTGGACTGGGAGAGGTAGATCCATCCTCACTCTGGACGGGCACCATTTAATCAGCTGCCAGCATGGCTAGGATAATGCAGGCAGAAGAATGTGGAAGAACTAGACTTGTGGAGTCTTCCAGCCTTCATCTTTCTCCTGTGCTGGATGCTTCCTGCCCTTGAACATCACACTCCAAGTTCTTCAGCTTTTGGACCCTTGGACTTACACCAGTGATTTGCCAGGGGCTCTTGGGCCTTCAGCCACAGACTGAAGGCTACACTGATAATCTCTTGGCTTGAAATTTTCACAGAGATAGCTTTCGGGGTGGCAGGACCTTCTGACCCCACTGCCTCTTTTGTTCCCCTTCCTGTTCTCTTGGGAAACAACCTCAAATTTCACCCCTACATCCTGCTCCCATATCTTTTCATAGAATGACTCTCCTAGCTTCTGAGAAAACTCCAAGCTCTCCCAATCCCACCCTGCAAGGGAGCATTTTGCCAGCCCAGAGAAAAAGCACATTTATTTCTTTCCATGCTTTAAGATGTTATTGGCTGCATATTGTTTTAGTGCAGCGTATAATTACAGAAACTGCTCGGAAAATCTGTATATTTTATCTGTGCTTTATGATACTCAGAATATTCCCCAATTCTTTTTCTTCTCCGTGAACCAGCTTAAAATATATTTTGGCATCCTTTATGTCATTTTGAAATTGAATAGCCAATTCTTACTGTAATGAAAATACTTACGTGCCAGCCCAGTGATGTACAACACTACACTCTAATTACGGCTGTGCTTTAATTAACCTGAATTGAAGAGTGTTATCATTAAACTGCTGGTAACTTTGAGTTATGGCTTTTCTTTAATTTAAAGTAGAAAACACAGATAATTAAGCCTCCAGATAATCAAATGCTTGAGGAGAGCTTCAATGTTTTGGGATGTTCCTAAATCTCATTAAATGTCCTTCCTTTATTGATCATTTCTACCTCTGCTGTATCATTGTATTAAACGAATAATAGCACTAAGTTGTACACATTCTCACTCACATCAGAAGTGGGATATATATATATATATATTTTGGGATATATATATCCCCCCAGAAGTGGGATATATATATATATTCCAGAAGCTTTACTGAGCAAATACTAAATTATCTGACAACAATTTGTCTCCTCCTTGGGACATGTTCTAAATACTAAAATCAATCAAAGGGAATATTCACAGAGCCACTGGTGCCAGCTCTTGAGCTGGCTGAAGGCCAGTGAAGTTCCATACCACCCAGTGGGTCAGGGTTGGCAAACTCACACATCCACAGGGCCAGGCCTGGGATTTATGTGTGAATCTGGCCTGGTTTAAGGTATCAGGGAGGAGTGACTACATGACTACACTAACCCCTTTGCTGCATCAAACTGGAGCCAGTTAGCATTCAGAGGAAATGTAGGTCTTGCACTGTCACATTAGATTTTCTAAAGAAGCCAGAAATCTAGTTTTTACGTGAAATACCACTATTTTGAAATATCAGCAATTAGTTTTTATGAAATTAAACACTAATGTAGTCAAATGTACCTTGTAAGTATCTCATTTAGAGCCTGTAGGGGGAGCAGTCCTAACCCTTCAAGTTACCCGTGAGAGGAACCCTCTCAGTTACCAGGAGCAGAGTAAGAGAAGGGCGGAAAAGCAAGAAGGGCCTGGGGGTTGGGGAGGGAGCACTCTTGTTAGACACAAACACCAGTTAGGCCAGGGAAACTCCACAGCCAAGGAAGGGGGCTTGACGGAGCCCCTGCTGACGCCCTCACCAGCCTAAGACTCCCTGCAGGCGCTGGCAGCTCGTCTCTGTGCTCAGACCACCACCACATTAGAAAGACAAGGCTTCAATTGCCTTTTTATAAAACTAGCTTCCGTTAAAAAGCCTGCTTTCCCCCGGGGCTTTCTATCCTAGGCAGGCCAAGCTCCAAGGAGGGGGAGATCCCCTGGGACAGCCTCAGTGTTCCAGGACCCAATGCCTCTGAATGGTTAACTCCTCTCAGTGGCAGGAAGAGAAATAGCTCTCAAAGAAAGGCACACATGGGAGTCACAATAGGGCATCCATTTTCAGAAAATAACTCCTTCCGAATCAATTACCTATTCATTTTTCCAGTCCATTTAGCATTTAAACTTTCGCTTAGAGACAGGGTGAGAAATTTCAGTAAACAGCCAAACCATTTTGGATTGCTTAGGGTCTGGGCCCAGGGACTGACAGAGTGCACCTGCTGTGTTCAGTGACAGGAGGCTCCAGGTAAACACCAAGCGCTCCGCCTCCCTCCCTCCTGCATACAGAAAGAAAACCGCAATACAGAGGAGGCCAAGGGCACCCAGCATTGTCCTCTCCTTTGTGGTAAAGCCCAATCGGTTTTGTCTGGATGTCTTCAGACCTCTCTTTCGGGAAGGTGATTTGGTTTGTAAGTAGGCAGGAAGCCCAAGCAAATGGCTTTTCTTCCTCAGCCCAGTGAGCTCCCAGATCCCCCTGTTTTTCCCCAGTGAGAAGAATACTTGTCAAATCCTTTGCTAAGGTGTCAGGAGATCAGGCTTAATGTTTCACCAACCTCAGGGAGTTTGTGTTTTCAATGGGCACAAAGACCCTGTTCATCTTAAACTCAACATCTGAGATTATTATTTTTTTATTATTTTAGAGATATAATCTCACTGTTATCCAGGCTGGAGTACAGTGGCGCAATCATAGCCCACTGCAGCCTCAGCCTCCTGGGCTCAAGCAATCCTCCTATCCCAGTCTCTAGAGTAGCTAGGACCATATGTGTGTGCCACCACACACCTGGTTCAAGACACCAGGCTAGTCTTGAACTCCTAGCCTCAAGTGATCCTCCCACCCCAGCTTCCAAAAGTGCTGTGATTACAGACATGAGGATTCTAAGTGAGGAATCTGAGGCACTGTCATGCCTCACGGCAGACACCTAGAGCTCTTGAGGTCATCCCCCATAGGTGACCATCTATTCTACCTGCAGTGGCCATGGCAGGTGGCTTTGATCCATCCTGCTGAGCCAGTAGAAAGAGAAGCTAAGACTTGTTATTATTATAACATGGCAGTTGCCTCTGTTGGGGCTCAAGGCCTCCTTCTGTATATTTGGTTCCACATTTCCTCAGCAAAGGGTGAAAGTACTTTGAATGGCTTTATTGCATTAGCTTCTGTTGTCTCTATGATCAGACTTGATTGGAAGACAGATTAAAATTCCTTTCATTGAGGGGCTGGCAAGATTTGTTTTGCCCTATTAGAATCAGACAGGCAGGGGTTTACGCCACTGTTCATGAATGTGTCTACATCACAGGAGGCATGCAGGATAACTGTAGTTCATAAGTTAGCATAAATGATGAATCCAAGTCCAAGACTCTCAGGCCTGTCAAGAAAAGTGGGGCCAGTGGAAATTCCCGAGGCAGGGACCACGTGATGACCCACCCTTCTGTTCCTCACATGGGGCCGAGCACACAGGATACCCTTAGCAATTGTCAAGTGCTCCGGCTGTACCCAGCAGAGGTGCGAGGCTTTCTTGCAAGGGGCACGTTCAATATCCCTGAGAGCCAAAGAGCATCCAGTTAATGGTCACTTACTCACAAACAGTAGGGAAGGATAGACCCACGAAGGCACTGGAGAGATATTCTGTGTACATTTCATTTGAGACTCCTTCCAAGTAGTATTTCTGCCACGTGTCTTCCTCAATCTGAAGGAAAGGAACACATGCGGAGAGTTTAAAATATGACGGTGGGCTGTAAAAGGGAAACCTAAGTTATACTCTCAGGCAAACAAATGAATGTGCTGGTTAGATAATGGTGACCTTTTCGGCAATCAGGAACACAGCCTCTGCACCCATATAAAGTCCTCAATGACCCTAAATTCATAAAATGTGTGCCCTCTAAAATACCACTTCTTTTTTAACCTGTGTGATTTCTTTCCTTTTTTTTTTTTTTTTTTTCATACAGGGTCTTACTGTTGCCTGGGCTGGAGTGCAGTGGATCATAGCTCACTGCAGCCTTGAACTCCTGGACTGAAGCAATCCTCCTGCCTCAGCCTCTGGAGTAGCTGGGACTATAGGTGTGCATCACCACGCCTGGCAATTCTTTTTCTTTCTTTTTTTTTTTTTTTAGATACAGGGTCTTGCTATGTTGCCCAGGCTTGTCTCAAACTCCCAGACTCAAGTGATTCTCCTGCCACTGCCTCTCAAAGTCCTGGGATTACAGGTGTGAGCCACTGTACCTGGTCTTTAATCTGTATGACTTCTAATGGTGTGGAGACATGGGCACTCACCCACAACATTAGTGGGCAAGGAAATTGATACAACTGTTTTGAAGAGCAATTTTGCAATTATTATCAAAATTTGTAAAAGTACATAGTATTTTACACAACAATCTGTTTTAAGTATTCATAGCAAAGACACAGGAAAACACAGGTTAAAAAAACATACAAGAACGTCCTTTCTATTAATGAAAAATGGGAAATAACCATAAATGGCACACATACAATGGAATACTAAGAAGCAATTAAAAATTATAATGAAAATGTATACCTGTTCATGTATAAATTCTGTAAAAAGGCACATTATAAAATAGTGTATATAATCTGATCCTATTTTTTAGATGCCCTATAGTTATCTGAGTGTTTGTAAAGCTGTAAAAAAAATCTAGGAAGCTTTATATCAAAACACTAAGAGTTGTTACCTCTGAGTGGTAGAATGATACTTTCTTCTCTATAGATTCCTGTATTGTCGAAGGCTTTTATAATGAGCATGTACATATTATAATGAAACAGCATATTTCCACTTTGCACAAAATGACAGATTTTTCTGACCTCACAAGGAATATCACAAAAGGTAAAATGTTAGTTTCAGAGAGGTCTTGCTCCAAATTTCAAAAGGAGTATCACAAAAGTAAAATGTAGTTTCAGAGAGGTCTTGCTCCAAATTTCATTAAAATATGCATTTTCTCTAAGTAGTCAAGTTTAGTTGGTTTTCCCAGCAACCCTCTTCACGCTAGGTATCTCTGGAAGGATTTCACAGTGTAGTAAATGTTCTTTTTTTTTGAGACGGTCTTGCTCTGTCACCTAGGCTGGAGTGCAGTGTGGTGGGATCTCTGCTCACTGCAATCTCTGCCCCCTGGGTTCAAGAGATTCTTTTGCCTCAGCCTCCTGAGTAGCTGGAATTGCAGGTGTGTACCACCATGCCCGGCTAATTCTTGTATTTTTGGTAGAGACAGGGTTTCACCATGTTTGCCAGACTGATCTCAAACTCCTGACCTCAAGTGATCTGCTGGCCTCGGCCTCCCAAAATGCAGGGATTACAGGCGTGCACCACCACTGCGGGCTTACAATGGAGTCAGTCTTTAGAAACTGGTGAATCACAAGGAGAATGTTGAGCCACTTTGGGAGCTTAGGGATCTCACAGGCCTCCCTGAGGGAAGGAGGGCAAGCTGTGTGTCTTTGGCTGCAACCTCTCAGGCTTCCCTTCCAGTGGGGGCTTGGGTAAGAGGAAGATGAAAGGAAGCCACCCCGCCAACAGGAAGTGGCTCTTTAGAATGTCTTGTGCTGATCTTGTATTCAAAGGCATCTTGCCTGTGGCCAGTCAGTTAACTGGGAGAAATGCAACAAGTGGATCAGAAGGGGACCTAGGAACAGTGGGCAAGGACACACCTACCATCTACTTGGAGACACTCCAGCATACAAAAGCCGGAAAAAATTTAGAAATAAACTGAAGGCCCCCTGACTCTGTGCTTTCTGTCTGTTTTTTTGCTCAATCTGGGTGATTAGATTATGTAGGTTAACCTCATTTGTTTGAGCTGCTTCCAACCTACTCCCACAGGTGAGACATTAGCTAGGCAGTGTTGCTAGGTATGAGCTGTTTATCTACAAATTGGCCTTCCCTAGAGTGGGGTCTTTAAAAAAAAAAAAGTCACTCAACCAATTCTATTGCTAAATGGTATGATTTTAAAAATTAACTGCAATGTGTTTAGCTAAGCATGAACTTTTTAATTTCTCCAAACCATTGGATCTCAATAATTTTTTTTGAATAAAAGATATGCTTGACTTATAAGCAAAGGTCACTAACTCTAACTAATTTGAAGAAAGCCTAATCTGCCTTAGTAAAAAATGTTGGAATATAGAATATTTGGGAAACAGTATTAGCATATTTGTTTTATTAATGAATGGGATACTATATGAGGTCTCACTAATTATAAATCCCTATACTAGAGCCTTATGGGCAAATAGTATTCCTGAAGTAAAAGAATTCGGCCTATTCTTTTCATATATGTTCTTTTATAATGTGTTGTTTATGGTCTAATTTAAATACAACAACTGATTATCAAAAATAATGAAAATATAAACCTTTATTATCGATCATTGGTGGTATTCCTCAATTAATGTGGTTTTAACAAGGTTCTTTTAGTTTTGGTCAGAATTTCATGCCTTTGTGTCCTAATGAAGCTATTCTTTATACCAAATTTTATTGTAGGTGAATCACTAAACTTTTTAAATAAGAAGGAACACATTCTTTGTAGGGTAACAATATCATTCATGTTTGTTTTGAATTTAGCAAAAATTGTTCTATTGAGTCATTCATTCAGCAATTATTGATTGCATATATTTTTCATCTTAGGATCTGTTCTAGTTTCTGATTAAATCAAAACTGGTATTTACTTCCCCATATTTTTATCTTTGCTGGAGAAAGCACCAGATATATCTGATTATGATATACCTGACCACATATATCTGACTTTTAATGATTTTTCCATATCATTTTTCCTGCAAGTTTGCCTTTGTGGCTAATCAGAAATGCTTGAGGACTAAAAGTCAAATAAGTAGAAAAAAGTACAGAATGTTCTAGAAAACAAAATGCCTCTTCCACATCCTTGTGTAGACCTGCAGATAACCTCTACACACTAGACCTAGTAGCATCGAATCAACTGAATAAATGCTGGGGCATTTAAATCCGTTGTCATCGCCATCTGTTTAAGATTTCCACATCTTTAACACTATTTCCATATGGATAGTCAATATGTTTTTGAGGTTTCTGGTAAAGGAATTTCACTTTTAAAAGAGGCTAAAATTGCTAATTGAATTACACTGTCATCTTCTCAAGCACTGTATGTAGTTGGTGGGAATGTAAAGTGGCACAGCCACTGTGGAAAACAGTATGGTGGTTCCTCAAAAAATTAAACATAGAATTACCACTGGATTCATAATTCCACTTCTAGGCATATATTCAAAGGAAATGGAAGAAGGATCTCTAAGAGACATTTGTACACTCACAGCACCATTAGTCATAATATCCAAGAGGTGGAAGCATCCCAAGTGTCCATGGCCAGATGACTAGATAAACAAAGTCTGATAATTTACAATGGAATATTATTCAGTCTTAAAAAAGAAGAAAATTCTGTCACATGCTACAGCATGGATGACCCTTGAAGGCATTATGCTAATTGAAATAACCCAATCACAAAAAGGGCAATTATGTTATGATTCCACTTATATGAGGTACCTAGAGTCCTCAAATGCATAGAAACAGAAAGTAGGATGGTGGTTGCCAAGGGTTGGAGGGAGAGGGAATGGGGAATCATTGTTTAACTGAGACAGAGTGTCCATTTTACAAGATAAAAAGAGTTCCAGAGGTGGATGGTAGTGATGGTCACACAACCATGTGAATGTACCACTGAACTACATGCTTAAAAATGATTAAGAGCCAATTTTATATGAGTATTTTATCACAATTAAGAAGATTTTTAAAACCCTTATGTAAAACATAAGAGCAGGAGAATCAGTAATTATAATTAATACTGAGACCATTTAATCCTTAAGTCATGCCAGAAAAAGGACAGGAATAGGCCGATCATATCAGACGAGTCAGGAGTGAGAACCCAGAGTCATGACATCATAGTGCATCGCAAACTCAGCAACAGAACCTCAGTCTTTATACCGACCCAAGGGCTGAAATTGTCACCTTCTATCAAGGTTACTATTCTAAGTCTCGAGTGTGATATCTTCGACTTATTTTTGAAAAGCAAAAACAAAAGTGTACATTTCTCATACAATGCATTCTTAGACAGAAAAAAAAGTCAGTGCAAAATATATTGAATTTAAATCCTTGGCCACACCTGTAATCCCAGCACTTTGGAAGGCTGAGGCAGGAAGTTTGAGGCTAGACGTTTGAGACCAGCCTAGGCAACACAGGAAGACCCCATCTCTACAAAAAATTAAAAAATTTGCCAAGTGTGATAGCACACCCCTGTAGTCCCAGCTACTCAAGAGGCTGAGGCAGAAGGATAGCTTGAGCCCAGGAGTTCAAGGCTGCAGGGAGCTATGATTGCACCACTGCACTCCAGCATGGGCAACAGAGAGAGATCCTGTCTCTAAAATAAATAAATAAAACCTTGTGTTTAATACTAAGAAAATGAAAGTGAACAAAGAAATCTGGACCAGGTGAAGGGAGTTATTGTCATTATGAACTCCCCTTTTATAGATGATAAAACTGAGGCACAGAGAGGTTAAGAAACCTGCTGACAGTCACAAAGTGAATCCGCGGTACAAACAGGATTCAGAGTTCACACTCTTAACCATCCAACACAAAGATAGAGGGGTTAGGATTTGGGCAGACGGGGAGGATTTGCTGTATACAAGTACCTAAGAGGCAAATATCAAATTTCAAAACCAAAGCCCGTCAAGCACTCAAAACCC